GCGGGGGGCGGGCAGGTGTGCGCCGAGGGGGCGGGAGCGGCGGTGACGGAGGAGGGGGCGCGGGCCCGGAGCGCTACCCAGCCACCCACTCGCCACAAAAGCCACAGGAAGGAAAACGCCGGGAGCGTCGCCGGCGGCCGCCCGGGGCCGGGAGGGCGGGAGAGCAGCCGGGACGGCAGGTGACCCCGCCGCGCGGAGGGGGGCGGCTCGGGAGGCGACCGCGCCGAGGCGCGGGGGCGCCGAGACCTCCGCAGCGCGGCAAAGGCCGGGAGCCAGGAAGCGCTCTCCCAAGTATATTCCGGGAGGAAGGTGGTCCCTGAACTGTCAAAGAGCGAACATTAAAAACAACCGAGTAACAGCTTGTGGTCCAAGTCAGAGACGTACACTAGTTCAGAAAGAAAAACAGTACGAGGCCCATGGTGGCAGAGTGAAACAGAATTTGGGTCATCTGACTTGTTATTGCGAATGACTTCTGATTACAAAAGAAAAGTGTCATCTTCTTAAAAATAATTTACACGGAGTGAAAGACAAGTTTAGGTTGAATACATCTGTCGTAGCGTTAAGAACTTCAGGATGACAGGATAAATTCCCAGTTAAATCAATACTAATGATCACACACATGATTTTATTTAATCTATTATAGTTCATATAAAAATGAACATTAGGATCTCACGTAAAAATATATCATTTATCGCTTAAGCTTTTATACTACCATTTTAGCACCCTAAAAGCAATTAATCATAAAAGAAGAAGAAAACTGTTCAAAGAATTACTTTGCAGAATACACTAGTAGGGAAAAGAGAAAAATCAGACCGATAAACATTCTCTACACATACAAAAGCAACAAGTTAGCACAAGTAGTGAGATAAGAGGAAAATATGCAAATGAAGCTCTTTCAAGCTACCAATATACTTAGGCGCACTGATTATACAAGAAATCTATGAAAAGCAGAAGGTAAAGTAGAAGCTAAAGTATAGGAAATTATGGCCTCCTCGGGGAGGACACGTTTAGGAGAAACACAGTGAAAATATATCACTCTAATAACACCCAGGTTTCACCCACAAATCGGAAAGGTTCAGTCAAAATAGAGAACGACAACCTTGAATCTTGGCACACAGAAGCCTAAGCCTTGAGCAAAATACAGAGTATTTCATGATCAAACACAAAACAAGAAAAGAAACTCAAGGTAATCTTTATTTGAAAACCTAAATACATTTTTAGAAAGCTCAAATGTGTGGAAATATGGAGACTCTTTAAGACATGAAAATATAATCAATATCAAACAAGTATAGTAAAATGTTGCACTTGTGTAGGACTGTAATAGATGTTGAAATACTGAAATGTATAAACAGGCTTGATATTCAAAAAACCCACCTAGCTATCTGTAACCCAGGCATGGGGGTGCACACCTGTAATCCCAGTACTTGGGAGGCTGAAGCAGGAGGCTGGCTACCTGTGAGTTTAAGGCCAGCTTGGGCTACATAGTTAATTCAAGGCCTTGTGTAGACCCTGTCTCAGAAAACAAATTTTAAAAAGACCTCATTAATGACATTTTAAAATATGATGGGTAAAATTTGAAGTTTATAAAATGGATATTTTAGTAGTTGATTCATATTGGTAAGACTTCACATGATTCCCTAAAACCTGACTTGTCACTAGGGATAGGGGATTCTAATACCATGGTGGACTAATTAACAACCAGTGGCAACATGAAAAGAAAACACAGGCTACAAAAGAATGTTACTGCCCATTTAATATAACCCCCAGTTAAATGCCTTCAACCACAACAACAGAACAGATAGAGAAAAGAAGGGAAACATGGGCAAAACAATGTAAGTGCAGAGGAAAAAAATACTAAAAAAAGGTTACTGAAAATATCAAGACACATTAGAATGAAACACTATGGACCAGGGAGATAGCTCAGTAGAATAAGCGCTTGCCTGTTAAGTACAAGGGCCTCAGTTCAATCCCTGTTCTGAAAAAAAAAAAAAAAAAAAAAAAAAAAAAAACAAAAAACACTCTAAAAGTGTTTATTCTATCATTTTACACAAATACATAAGACAATATGCCTCTGGACTGCCTTAACCTCCTAAAGACCTGATTAAAGCTAATATAGCATGGGAATTAAAATAGTAGTCTTTGAATAGCACCTTTCAAGCAGGAATCAAACCTATTCATAAACATAAAAGATAAAAGTAATAAGAACTGTATGGCCTTGGAAAATGATAAACAGTAAATAAGCATAAAGATACTTAATCATTATTCTAAAAGGTAACAACATAGTATGATCATGAATCTATTAATCATATGTACATATTAATTTTCCCTAAAGCACCTTCTTTATTCTGGAACTATATCACCATAAGAAATAATATTAAAAAATGGCATATAGAGGGTTATACCCTAGGGATATACACTGAACTTAATATATATTATCTACTACTTAGAATATTTTATCATAGCCACTTAGTATTGGCCAATATAAATGCTGGTCAAAAGAAAAAATGAAAATAAAAAGTTAAGTTGAAAAATCCCACCTTCCTAGTCATATGTGAGGTAAGTTATGATGGTGTGGAGGGATATCAACTGATTCCACAAAGGCATCTTTTATCTGCCCATAGAGATGCAATGAAATAATGAAAAAACAAACTATAAATCTCCTATCAAATAGAAAATTTCAGATACTTAAAATGTTTCAGCTCAAACGCATTAACTATTTAACATGTGGACATGCACTTAAAATGAAGTATATCAATTTTCTCTCACGTAAGGAGGCATTCAAACCAGCTGCACAAAAGAAGCAAAGGCAAACTATTGTAACAGATACACAAGATTTTTCAAAAACTTAATGAAAGGACCACTGCATGTTTCAGATGGCAACGTATTAAGATAAATATGCAGGCAGATATTTGAAAGCATTAAAATACAGAGTTCTGAATAGCACATACACTTGTAATAAACAGTGAAAGCATTTAGAATTCGAATGCTTTTAAGATACAGCAACTCAGCCAGTGACACCGTAAAGCAATGCTTACCACAATAACACTTTCTAAGGACATTTTTTCATCTTTTTAAATTCAAATACAGTTGGCTATCTCTACACTCTTAAAAGACAGCAAAATTTATATAGCATATTGCTCTTTTTGTCAGGTCAACTCTTTGTTTTTGGCTTTAACTGCAAGTGGTGTTTTCCATATAAGAATTCTGGGAATATGGTCTGTTCTGGCCATATAAGGGCATCTATTTAAACCTTATGTTTTGCTGTCATGTTTCATTTGGTCTGTCTGGGATGTCAGCATTCATTGCCACTTTTTTCCTCCAGTACTGGAGATTGAACCTGGAGCCTTGCTCATGCTGGGCAAGTGCTCTACCACTGAGCTACATTCGCCTCCTCCACATTATTTCTTCAATGGACCAAATCACCAACTTGGAAGAGTAGAGAGGAACAGTAACTGGGGCTGCAGCCCTAACAACTGTCAAAACATCTATCCGAGAGGAAATACAATATCCTGTAAACATTAGCACTCTCTTATCACCTATTATCTATGACTGACATCATTACAACTGCAAACAGTTTAGGAAAGGACTTACTCGAGTGCACAAGTTTGCAGTATGCATGTGCACAGTTCCAGCACGCACATTGGCACTCACGGCAAGGCACATGCGAGCTGCCTCAGTGTGACCCAGCCCTGAAAATGGGGAGAGAGGCAGCCTCATGTTTTTCTCTGACTAAATTCTGAGTAATCCTACCAGAAAGTTCTGGCCTCCATGATATTTTCTCCTAGTGTCTTGTATTTCTTCTCTGTAACTGTCTTAATT